TGCTGGGTCAAGGGCTGCGGACAGAGCCCGCGTCCGCGAGAAGTCCAAACCAAAGGCTCACAAAAAGAAGGCTTCTGCCAAAAAGCCTTCCACGAAGAAGGCTACGACTAAGAAGCCTGCTAGGAAGCCGGCTGCTCCGAAGACCAAGAAGGTCGCTGCGAGCAAGAAGGTTTCTGCTCGATCAAAGCCTCCGGCGAAGAAGCCGGCTGCCAAAAAGGTCAAAAAAGTGACGGCGAAGAAGCCTGCTGCTAAGCGATTGAAGAAGTAGGTCTTGAGGTTCTGGTAGAAACCTCTTAATTGCCCACAATCATTACAAGGCGTTGTTTGGCGCCATCATGAACGGTCTAATGTGAAACCCCATGGAAACTGCGAATAGGAGAGGTATCTATTAAACTGCGAACCCAGGGCCTGAAAGCTGGAGTCTGGTTTTAGAAATACTGACCAAACCAGAGGATGAGTCAGTGAACTGATATAAGTGAGCTATCCGAGCATCAGCCGCAGAGTCAGGTCACCTGACTCAGCTGTCTCATTTCTAGTCCTTCAGTGTCAGAGGTAACAGAGAGAAGCAATCGTACCGCTGCGTGTCTTCACGACCCTACAGCGTCCTTGGGGACTGCAGTTTTATCATTGTGGCACTCAATTCCATCGACATCAACGCAACGTTGCTCTCATTAAATACGATGATCCCCAACTGGGTCATTTATCCACCAGGAAACCGACCGTGTTTTCCCCTCATGCAAAGTACGTTATTATGACGCAATGTACAGTGATGGCCATCAAGTGGTGTGTTTTGTCAATTTTTTCGTCAGAAAAGTCGGACTCCCATGGCAGATGGGATTTACCATGATTGTTTACACTTTGATATCAATCTAATTTCACTAGCAACTTATGTCTGGCAGAGGCAAAGGCGGCAAAGGTTTAGGAAAGGGCGGCGCTAAACGTCATCGTAAGGTTCTTCGCGACAACATTCAGGGCATCACCAAGCCGGCTATCCGTAGGCTTGCGCGCCGTGGTGGAGTCAAGCGTATTTCCGGGTTGATCTACGAAGAGACCAGAGGTGTCCTCAAGGTCTTCCTCGAGAGTGTCATTAAAGATACTGTTACCTACACCGAGCATGCTCGTCGGAAGACTGTTACCGCT